CCATTTTATCAATGAGAAAATTGAGGCCCACAGAGATTAATCTTCTGGCTCTAAATCCCATCAGATTGAGGGGGCATCAGAAACACTGAAGTGCAGAGGAATATGGCAGGGTCGGACAATAGGGTGAGAGAGGGCAGGTGCACTTGGCTCTTTTAGATAGTATGATCAGGGAAGACTTTGGGAGAAGGAGACATTTGGGCAGAGGCCTGGAGGAGTTGAAGGAGTGAGCTGACTTAAAAATGTAGATTCTGGTTCAGAAGGTAGAGGAGGGGCTTGGAAATCAGTGTTTTTAACCATGTTCCCAGCTGAGTGAGAGGAGGGTAGATGAGACCCCACACTTTAAGAAATACAGTTTCTAATCCATGGCCTCCTCTGGGACCCACACTCTTCCAGGAAGCTCCTGCCATGGAGAGTCAGACCATAAAGAGGTCTGCTGGCACCTCAGGGCACAGCAGGAAGGTGGAGGCTGGCCAGGTTTGAATGAGCTCATTTTGTCACGGATTTGTTAACTGAGGTTTGATAGTTGCTAAAGGATTCTTAACGTGAAGACTTTTTAAATCTCACTTTTTTTTTCCATTTAATGCTTTTTTTTTTTTTTTTTTTTTTTTTTTTTTTTTAACTTTTCTCATGTCCTTAATAGAAAGAAAAATGGGGTGGGGATACATCAGAGGAAAGAAAGAAATGCCCTGCCAAAGGACTTCAGACTTGTCCTAACTGGGAGTTTGTAAAAAAATTCTCCTCTGCACTTGTTCTGAGCCACCTTTCAATCTTCATTTTCCCAGAAACACTTAAGCACTTGTCTGCAGCCCTTGGCCGGCCTGCCCTTCTTCACGGAGGGCCCTGGCCCAGCCACAGGGGAGGTTCCATGGTGTGGACCGGGTTCACTGGGCCAGCACAGAGGGACACGGGAGGCTTCGTGCACAGGGCTGCCTCAGGACAGCTGGAGCGACTATTAACAATTTTTACCGCTACCTCAAACAAAAAGAATGGGCATTTTCACTGCAGGACAAATTCTTCTAAGTTTTTCCATCTCCCAGAATGACAGACTAGTTAGGAAAACCATATCCAACTTTATAATGAAAAAACAATGGAAAGCTTTTGCGTCCAGTTTTCATGTTTGTTTAATTTTGATGTATGTGTGTGGCATGTAATGATGCTGTTGGCAAACAGTGATCAGGACCCTGGGGGTGGCCTTTTACAACTGCTGGCATGACACTAACAGGCTCTCTTCACTTCTGGTGAAGGGAGAGGGGCCCTACCAGGGAATCTCCTCATACAGGTGTCTTCACAGGTATTGGGGGGCGGTGGGGACTCCTGGTCGCAGACCCTCTGCAACCTGGAGGTGCACCCAGCAGATGGTCTTTGGCACCTGGAGGGTTGCACTGGCAGCAGAACCTGCTTGAATTCTTCTCAGGGTGGAAGTCAAGCTTGCAACATGCTCCTGCAGCCTTTCCCAAGGCCAAAAGTGGAGTGGGACTACATGAGGTTTCTGAAGGCCAGGTGTCCTTCCTCCTAACTCATCATGCAGACTGAGATTAAATTAAGCTGCATATAGCACCACCTCAGCAGGCTTAAGAATAACTAAGACCCCTATTGGTAAACCTCATTCCTTTCTACTCACAACACAGGCAGTCCCATGGTCCCAGGCAACTGAAGCTCTCACTGCCAACTCTCTCACCTCACTGCCTTCATCAACCTTTGTCTCTGTCTCTCTCACTCCGTTCCTCCCTCCTCATTCCCACCTCTGCACCTCCGCTCTTGTCACTTCTCTGTTCATGTTTTCACAAATTCTCCCTCTCATACTCTGACCCCAGGCCTGGCTCAAGCCCCTCTTTCCTCACAATGACTTCCCCAACAGCAGTGACACTCCTGGACAGTGCCTTTGACTCTGTGTCACCCTACAGCTTTCTCTAATTTTTTCATGGCTTTGTTGCAGTCTTTGCCCTTGCTAGAAAAGTCGCTAAGTATTCCCAAGCTCAGTTTCCATCTCTGTAAAATGGGAAGGATGATAGTACCTATCTTACAGGACAATTTTTTTTTCAGACAGTATCTCTCTCTGTTGCCCAGGGTATGCAGTGGCACAATCATGGCTCACTGTAGCCTGGAACTCTTGGGCTCAAGTGATCCTCCCACTTCAGCCTCCTCAGTAGCTAGGACCACAGGTGAGCACCACCACACCTGGCTAATTTTTAAAATTTTTTATAGAGATGAGGTCTCCCTATGTTGCCCAGGCTGGTCTCAAACTCCCTACAAGACAATTCTGAGGACTAACCGTAATAATGCAATCTAATGCCAAGTTCCCACTTTAGAGCAGCAGGCTGCACTCAGCAAATGCCAGCCAAAACTTCCACTAGCACCGAGTCAGAGACAGGTACATGGCAGGTGCTTGGGTAACTTTTTGACTTCACAACAAAACTACCAGACCTCCCCAGAAACAAGACTCCTCAGACGAAGCATGCTTGCACATGCACCTACTGCTGTTCTGTGGCCTAGGAAGACAGAGCTTGAGTGTGGCTGGGACATTCCTGCCTGGTGTAGACATGATCTAAAAATCTAAATTTCTGAACAAAAAGAAAGGTCTGTAAAATGAGTCCCTAAGGGGAAAAAAAATGTAAAAAGGAGTGATATTTTCTGGGCCTTTAACTAAATCTTGATTTCTTGGTTTAGCAAGATGACTACCCTGAAGCTTCAACGGGAAACTAAAATGTATTGGGCAGGTGGTTCCCAGGCTCAATTTCAATTCTCGCAAGTACATGACGAGGTCTTCATTACCTCTGTTTTAGGGCTGAGGAGAGCCAAGGGTCCAACAGACTCTATGTCTTGCCCCAAACCGCATAGCAGAGCTGGGAGTCAAGGTCAAGTCCACCCAGCACCAAAACCATGTGCTTTCTATTCCATCAGTAGAAAAAGCCAGGTGGATGCCACATGGCTGGGTACTTACTACCGTGCAATGTTCTATGTCTCTGCCACTCCCACCCCACAGCTTCCTAGAGGAAATCCACACTTACCAGATAGACCTCTGAGCCTCCAATGTTTTATGTGAAAAAAATGGTCACTGCATCCCCTCAAAAGTATTTAACAATTGCGTGCTTCTATACTTCACACATCCCCCTACATTCCTTTAAAAAAAAAAAAAAAAACTGGATTTTTTGTCTAAGTTTCAACTTCTAGTTAGATTTCTTCCCCCCAAATGTGTATTAATGAGCTTTTTCACAAGTGTTTTTTGCCATTACCAAGATGTCTACAGTGGACTGCATCCGGCAGGTGATAAAATATCATAGTTTATGGCCCACAGCGGATATAGCTGTGCCTCTGTTCTACTCTATGGCTGGTTCCTGAAGCCTCCTGCCCTTTACTCCAGTGCTCTCGAGCTCTCAGAGCCCAAACCAGGGTGTGCAGTCCGTTCTTAACCCTTTAATACATGACTCCATAGATCTGCTTTTTAATATTCCCACGCTTTTCCCAGGGAAGGAAATCACAACCCACAGATGAGAAGGCCATTCAGGAATGCATCTTTACCTCAAATCCCTTTGTGAAAATCTTGGATACTTGGCTTTAAAATGTACTTACAGGAAACTCATACTTTAAATTCTGGAGATTCTCAGAAGGATCTGAAGGTTCTAAAAACTTCCAATAAAATTTACATCTTCAACTTCATGGAAATGTGGCCCCTTAGGCACAAATTAACGCGAAACTCTTTAATACGCACATTCTTCATTCTCTACCCATCCTCCACCCCATTCCCACTGTTTTAAATCTTCTAAAATTAGTAACAGCAGCCACTATTTATTAAGAACCAGTGAGTGCAGACATGAAGCCAAGAACTTCACATACCCTGTCTCACTGAATCCTCCCAAGAAAGTCATGAGAAATCAGAGGCTTACGGGTTACATAAGTTACTTCATCACCCAGCCAGCTTGGTAGCCCGGATTCAAACCCGAGGCTGACACCAATGTACTCCCTCGAATCCTTATACAATGCCACATTAGTCAGAAAATATTTTCTTCCCTCCTGAAGTTAGTACTTCTTCATGCAATATCCTGCAGATAATACCAGAGCAGAACCCAGAAGGCTCTCTCTGCTAGGTCAGCCATGTTTTTGCCACAACAGTGACAGGAAACAGAAAAGGTGGAAAAACATGGAGATTCAGAACAAAGCAGTCACCTCTGACCTCTTTCTTCCTATCAGAGGTCAGATGAGCAGTCCCTGGAACAAATGGGAGTGAATCTGGGTCAGTTTCCCATTCACATCTTTCCATGCCTGATGGGGAAGAAACAGCTGGCATGACAAGTCTCGACGAGGACTAGAAGACTGACATAGGCCCCGTGTCCATGATAATTAACCACCGCCTGCTCTCAGCATCTCCCTCCTCGCCTCTCAGTCCGATCAGTGAGTCATGAAATGAGGACAGGGCTCCAGGGAGGTACATGCCACAGCTGCATAGCCATGAACCAGAAATGACAACAGACACAGGTGTTTAGTCATTTTCTTTCCCTGCGGGCTCTCCTCTCCCACACATCACAAGCATATCTCCCCAACCAAGGGAAGTGCTAGGCTTGTCCCACAACAGAGTATGAATCTGGCCTGTTCATCTGAGCCAGCACAACTCACCACTTTAAAAAGCACAAACCCATCCCTCACTGGAATGTGTATGAAGCCACAGAATGTTTTACCTTTGCTGAACTTTCAAACTGAAATAGTTCTTTACACTTGAGAGCGTAGCTGGCATAACAAACCCAGTTTTCCCCCACTCACTTCATGAGGCCCATATTTTAAAAAAACATTATTAATGATCAAGAGATTCCAAACAGAATCTGCCTGCCAAGATTTATTTGGCAAAGGAAATTTACTCTATCTCTTGAAACACAGGGATTAAAAATTAGATCCAATCTTCTTTTTGCTAAACTTTTCACCTCCCACTTAAGAGAAAAATCACAACTCTATGCAAAACCAGCAAGGTTAAGATGAAACCTCAGCACCCAGTTTTCTAATGCACTCACCCTCAGCGTTGGAACCTATGTTGTCTTCCAGTCCCACCTTATACGTCCCTCGACTTAGGGGTGTAGTGTGACCTGAAGCGGGGTAATTTCGAAGAACAATTTCTTCTTCGGGATGAGCTGGGGGAACATCCATTTCTGAAGGCACTGGCCCTCCATCTGGGTAGGGCTGGATGCTTCTGTTTTCAGGGTACGGTGGTGGAGTTTCCCAGGAAGGAGCCAGTGAATCTCTGTCTACCTCGGGTGGAGCTGGGCTTCTGGTGCCTCTCTCGTCCCAGGGCTCAACTTGGCCTTTTAAATCTGGGCCCTCTACCTCTACCAGAGATGTTCCTTCTTTGGTGTGAGGGTCCAAGGTAGCAGATTCTGTTTCAGGATAGAATGGCCAATAAGTAGGTGTTAGATGCAAGGTGGAGGACAGATCAGAATCTGGAGGGGAGATCCTACCCTCTAAAGGCTTTGTATCTACTTTGGACTGGAAGGAAACATCAATGCTGCTATGGCCATTCAATGCCTCCTCTGGTTCACCCGGAAGGTATTCAGCTTCCTCCTCATTCACATCATAGTAATCCAAATTGTCCTCATTATAGTCACTTTCCAGGGCGGTAGCATGGCTGAAGGAACGTCCCAGGGGAACAGAAGAGTGGGCAGCGGAAAGGTCTCCTCCAACTGCGGCTGGCCTGACATTGTCCAACAGGGAAGTGCTGCCGATATGGAAAGCCCACACTCCAGGGATCCCCAGGTTGCTTAGTCTAAATAAAAAGGAAACCGTTGTTGTAACAAATGTAACAAAAGTGTCCATTCACCCACCTTCCTAGAAGGTGAATAACTAACTGAAAGACAGCTGGGCATGGTGGCTCACACTTATAATCCCAGCACTTTGCAAGGCCAAAGTAGGAGGATGACTTAAGCCCAGGTGTTTGAGACCAGTCTAGGCAACATAGTGAGACCCTGCCTCTACAAAACACTTCTCTAAAAAAAAAATTAGCCAGGTATGTGCCACACGCCTGTGCTTCCAGCTACTCAGGAGGCTGAGGTGGGAGGGGCACTTGAGCCCAGCAGTTCCAAGTTACAGTGGGCTTTGGCTGCAACCACCGCACCCCAGCCTGTGTGGCAGAGTGAGACCCTGCCTCAAAAAAACAAAAACCAAACAACCTGAAAGGCTATTAAGATCAGGTTCAGTTTTCACTGGTATATAAAACCAAATAAAAGCAGACTTACATGGTAACTAAAAGGATCACACTGGACTTTTGATGTGAACTACCTTTTATTTAACATTATGTTTCAAAGCTGTATGCCACAGAATGCCAGACCATCAAATTATCAATCTGCTCTACAATCCAAATGGTTTATCTAAAATCTGGCTATCTGAAAATAAACAAGGAATGTAGGAATGTTTCATCCTTCCTCCACTTGTCTGGAAACTGATAACACATTTTAAAAATGTATGCTTAAAACTCTACCAAATACTGACACTCGAATGACTACTATATACTTTCAAGAGTTGGTGATGCCCCTTCCCTGTGCCAAGTGTTTCGCATTCTTCAATACAGTCTGCAAGTTACAGGTGATCATGTTCAACTTTATAGAGGAGAAAATAAGTTTTAAAAGGCTAACTGATCTTCTGAGAGTCACGTAACAAACAACTGGATCCGAATTCAGTTAACACCAAAGCCCATGCTCTACACATCTACGTTATATTCTGACAGAAAACCATACCACACTGCAGTCAATAAGCATCTGAATTATCATTACTCTACAGAATATTAAAGACATTTCATTGTTTATTCACTTGAACTGACCAATTCGCTAATCCACAAAGAACGGTGAGTCAACGTAAAAAAATTCAAAGAAATACAAATGCCAAAACCTAAAAAAAAATGTTTTTGCATGGAAAAAGTTAAGGAGCAAATAAGAAAGTAGCTTAGAGGTCTTTTCAAGACTTCTGGAAACAGCTCTCTCGTTTCCTCCATGAGAAAAGAACATGGACTCCATTCAGTTTCCAAATATCCCAATATTTAGTTATTTTAGTCAATGATATACCCTAAAGAGAACAACTACATAGGACTTCTGAAAATATGGGAAAACTTGAGTGAACAAGGGTCTGGCTATGTTGAAAATGCCAGTTTGTATACTCCTCTGATATTTATACAAAACACTAGGCTCAAATTCTCCCAAGCAATGGAATTACCTCAAAAGTCAGTCAGTGAGGAGTAAGAGTCAATGACTAACAAGATAATAAAAAAATTCACTGAATTGTATAAGAACAAAATATCTTTCTTCATTTGGGTGGGTACTCATCATGTTCATGTGGATTTCTATAGTAACAATATTTTTCAGTACAATTTGATAATGTCTTTCTCTTGTGTGTATGTGTGTGTGTATGCGTGTATGTATATGTATATGCTGTGGTCACTATTGTGATAAATTTAGGGAAAGAGAAGCATAGAAAGAAAAACTGATTTTGTGTGCAATATGCTATACATATTTGTTAAGTTCATAAGAATTAATATTGTTGTTTATTGGTAAGCAAATAAGGAAAACTAAAGACAGTAAGAGAAAATTCTGAAGTTCTGAGGATATTGAGTTTATTATCACATTAGAGGTGTTGCAACTAGGAAATTTCCTCTTGAAGTTAGAAACAAACTATAAAATCTTCAAAAAGTGGAAAAATACAGATTATGGCCAATAAAAGCTAAATTAAAAAACCTTCTAATTATATATAAATCACTATCCTGGGTTTTGTCACTATGCATAATGGAAAAGTAACCAATTTGAGTGTATTTTAAAAATCCAAGGTCATCTGAAAGCTTAGTAATAGGAAGAGTTTTATTTATTAATTTATTTCTAGATTTCTTAATTTATTTCTAGAAAGGAAAATTGGGTTACAAAATGGGATGACAATGCCTTCCTCCCTGGGTTGTTAGGAGAAGTAAGTGAGAAAACCACATTAAAATGCGTAGCACTGACCAGGCGTGGTGGCTCACGCCTGTAATCCCAGCACTTTGGGAAGTCAAAGTGGGCGGATCACCTGAGGTTAGGAGTTCAAGACCAGCCTGGCCAACATGGTGAAACCCCATCTCTACTAGAAATACAAAAAAATTAGCCATGTGTGATGTTGTGTGCCTGTAATCCCAGCTACTTGGGAGGCTAAGGCTGCAGAAAAGCTTGAACCCAGGAGGCAGAGGTTGCAGTGAGCCAAGGTCATGCCACTGCACTCCAGCCTGGATGACAGAACAAGACTCCATCTCAAAAAAGTAAATAAATAAAATGCCTATCACTGGCCCTACACATCATAAATACTTATTAATGACTGTCTTGTCTTCCAGAATATAGAAAAGTATGATTTCAAAATATACACGTGTGAATTCATATTTAAATTTGCAGAGGAAGAGTATGACAAACATTATGAACTATATAATTTATGATCTTTGAGCTCACAGTTGTGAGACAAAATCGAGGAAGAAAATAATTGACTAGGAAAATAACTTTACTCCTAATTACTTATTTATTTAGAGGTAGGGTCTCACTCTGTCACCCAGGCAGGAGCATAGTAGTATGATCATGGCTCACTGTAGCCTCAACTGCCTGGGCTCAAGTGATCCTCTCACTTCAGCCTCCCAAGTAGCTGGGTCTACAGGTGGACACAACCACACCCAGCTAATTTTGTTAATTTTTAGTAGAGATTAGGTCTCGCTATGCCGCCCAGGCTGGCCTTAAATGCCTGAGCTCAAGCAATCCTCCCACCTTGGCCTCCCAAAGCGCTGGGATTAAAACCGCCTTGCCCAGCCTAACTTTACTCTTGAGAGATGCATACTAAGGCATGTAGCAATGAACTGGCATGATGTTTGTGACTTACTTTAAAACACTTAAACAAGCCGGGTGTGGTGGCTCACTCCTGTAATCCTGCACTTTGGGAGGCTGAGGCAGGTGGATCACCTGAGGTCAGGAGTTTGAGACCAGCCTGGCCAACATGATGAAATACCGTCTCTACTAAAAATACAAAAATTAGCCGGGTGTGGTGGTGGGCGCCTGTAATCCCAGCTACTGGGAGGCTGAGTCAGGAGAATCGCTTGAACCCAGGAGGCGGAGGTTGCAGTGAGCACAAGATCACGCCACTGCACTCCAGCCTGGGTAACAAGAGTGAAACTCTTCTGGAAAAAAAAAAAAAAAAAGGAAAGAAAAGAAAAGAAAAAAAAATTAAACAAACAAAGAAATGAATATGGCAAAATGTTTACAATGTGTAAATCTAGGTGATGGGCATTTGGGTGTTCATTTAGTTATTCTCTCCACTTTTCTGTATATTTTTGAAAATTTAACTAATGAAAAGTAGAATAGAAGATTATATGGAAGGACATTTCTAAAATTTTGATGTACAGAAGTTCTTCTTAAGAATAACTCCAAGATCCAAAATCAGAAAGGAAAAGAGACCGGTAACTTTGACAATCTGCAATGTACAACTTCTAAATCATATACCCTTTCTCAGCAATTCCACTTTTAAGAATTTATTTTAGGGAGAAATGAGAATGTGAGCAATGTTTACTATGCTGTTTACTGCAATGATATTTATAACAAGAAAAATCAGAAATATGTGAAATGTTCATTAATAAGCTGTCTTTATACATGTATGACACAACGTTTTATAACCTTAAAATGGTAATACAGACAGACATCTGACTGAAAGACCCTACAAGAAGATATTCATGTGAGAACACCACTTATATAGCAAAAGAATCATTTTGGTTTTAAAAGTTTTGTATATACCTGAATTCTATAGAAGGACCGTTAACACTCGTTATCACTTGAAGCAGTGATTATGGGTAACCTTTTCTTTTATTTCACATTATTCTGCATTGCTTGTGCTTTACTGTTTGTATTAAGCATGGATTACACTAAAGAAAAATATGTGAGTCGTTTGGCTCCATATCTTACTCTGCTTTCGCCAAGCAATTCAGAGATTTCTGGGAAGTATCAAAGATAACAATGAAGGAAGGCATGAAAGGGGTTAGATGGAAATGCTGTCTGTGTGTTTGTGTGTCACACATGATTGTGGGTGTTAGTTCCAAGAGACCTTTACAGCTCTGCTCAGGGAACACAACTGCTTTTTCCCACAGGTCTTTTGGCCCCACTGTCTCCTGTCTCCTGTGTAGACGCCAGCACTTACCCAGGGCTCTGTAATTGTTGATCTATTTGTCTATCAACCCTAATAGGGTACAAGCTGCTGGTGTGCAGGACCACTGTCTTAGAAATCTTTGTATTCCATGTGCTTGGCCATTGTCACCTCTCTATAATGCCTGAGGAATAATAAATCTATGAGCTCCCAAGTAGAAGAGGAGGGTGGAACCAGAGGAGGAAAAGTAAGGAACTGAATTTGCTCCAGAGTCCAGACTAAGTGGCAGCCTAGATGGAGCCCTAAAGATGCCCAATGTGGATCATAAGGATGGGAAAGGAAACAAGGACTCAGCATAAGAGAAAATAAGTAGTTCAGCACTCCAGACTTGAGGTTGGATTTTGGCTTCATCACTTAACCTTGAGATCATAGGCAATTTACTTAACTTCCCTAAGCTCCTCTGTAAAATTGGGAAAATAGTAGTACTAACCTACAATTCTTGTGAGTTTTAATTAAGATAACATCTGGAAAGTATTTAGCACGATGCTTGGCAAATAGTAAGTTTTCAATAAATGTCAGCTCTGAGTAACCAAATCTGGCTATAGTGGTCTCTTTCTGGTAGCCGAGCAGAGCAGATGGCATGCAAAAGTATAAGGTGTTTCTATACCTACCCAGAACGGATTAAATGAAGCTGAGAAGCAGTTAATGGAGGCCAGGAAGTAACCAATGTATTCTGTCTGGCTTCTGTATTCAAGAAATGAATAAAAGCAAGGGCACCCCATCCCCCTCATACGCCCCCCCAAAAAACCTGAAGTCAATAAATGTCCTACTGGCACTATCTGTACTGGCAAAATGCAGAAGAGCTTATTATGACACTAGCTAAGTAAGCCCTCTGGATCATTCATTCATTCATCCATCTATTTATTAAATGCCCATTATGGGCAGACACTGATGAATCTAAGGAATGGGTTCAATTCACTTTAGGTAATGAAGCCAGAGAGACATCCTCAGACTTCCGGAAACCTATAAATCTTAGTTATTTTTTTTTGCAAATTACATTACTCAATTTAATGTTTAACAGTATCTGTCCACAAGACTAAATCACAGTGTTTCCTCCTGTGAAATGATTAATCTGGAAAACCTCAAACAGGGCGGTTTATGACTGGGTATTTTTATGTGGTTCCAAGAGCAATGTTTTTCATATCAAGCCTCAGTGGCTCTACAAATATACACACATACTGTTCTGTTTCCAGTATCTATACCCAATAGAGCAGGAAAAATAAAGGACCTTTTATGTTTTGGTGAACTTGATCCTTCCAGGGTTTAATCTAGTTTCTCGGTTTTGACTTGATGCCTTGCTTAGAAGCCGCCAAGATATTATTTAACGGTCTTATGGTAACTTGTGTTCACGTACCTCCTAAAAGTCCTTCTATTCAAATAGGAAAGGGCTTCAGCTCAATGTTACTTACTGATAGAGATTTTTCACAGACTGTTCAGTGCTAGTCAAGCTGAAATACGGTCCTTCTGACTTCAGATCATCAGCCTCCCCTCGGCAGAAGCCCACCCGAGCTGGAAGCTGAAGCTGGACATTGTAAGACTCTTTGGGGCGGGTTCCAAGGAACTGCAGGCCGTTGGCAGGGTAAAGAAAGAGGGCGTAGCTATCAGACCCATCAGATGCCAACACTGCCTGGAAAGTGTTCAGCTGTGAGAAAAAAAAAAAAGAGAGAGAGAGAAACGTCCTGTAAAAAAACAAATAAACGAAGAAAGAAACAGAATGCAAGCAAAGCACCATAAAGTGCAAAGAATTTTCCCCTTTCTCAGGATTCCTCCAAACTGTTTTTAAATGTCATCTTCTTTAAAATTTCCTCTTCAAGTTACTAATATAATTTCATAAGTGATATTATTTATTATTGCAAATACCATTTGTCAATTTAGATTAATAGTTGAAATATGCATAGGTAAAACGTAAGTTAAAAATATATACACTTTTAAGGTTTCAAACTTCTCTCATCCAAACCTCTTTCAGCGCTAAGAGCAATCAGCAAAATTAACTTGTCCATCCTGCAGTCACTGCCCTAGTTTATAACCCCAGGCACTCGGCATCTCTCATTGGTGTCATTCATTCATTCATTCATTTATCCATTCATCCATTTATGCCCACTATGGGCAGGCACTGTGTTAGGCCTAGTTGGTCAAAAGGCCTCCTTACTGTCTCACAGCCTCACTTTCTTTCCTCTTCCATCTACCCTTTCATACGAGCATCAGGGTTATCCTCATTTCACAGATGAGAAAAAGACACAGGGGCTAACAGGTCTTCCTCAGGTCAGGTGGCAAGTATGTGGTGGTGGGCCAGCTAGCTCTACAGCCCGCACCCTAGGACACCCTAACCCCTCCTCAACATGTCATTCAAGGTGAGTTGTGACCTGGCTGCCTACGTCCCTCCCAGGCTCAGTTCCACTGCATCTTTGTCAGACTATTTAATAGTCCCCATTTGCACCATGTCCTTGGATGCTTCTACACTTTGCTCATGGTTCCCTGTGCCTAGAAACCCACCTGACCTGGAAATGCTGCCACTCGGAGGTGTTTGTGATTATAGAATAGTTTCTGTTCTCTGAACCTCTGTAACGCCTTTATGAGCATCTCCAGTGAGCATTCACCTCATTATGCTTGGTTAGTTGTTTATATGTTTGTAAACACCATTCATTTATTCATTTGTACACTAATTCAAACAGCCAAGTGTTTACTTAAGCACCAGACATTATGCTTGATGCTGAGGATGCGAAGGAGCAAAGGACAGACTCTGCCCAGGAGAGTCTCACGGTGTAGAACAGGGAAACAGGCATGGTTGAAATTGCAGGAGAGTCACTGGAGAAGGTGGTAGAGGCCACAGAAGGGGGTGTGTGTGTCCAGGACCTCAGGGTGGGGGTTGGGAGGTGTCACAGAGGCAGCCAGTGAATGTTATAAATACTGCAGGAGCCAACACAGACCAGAGAGAGACCAGAAGCCTGAATCCGCTGCCAATTCAACACCCAGGTCCTTATAGGATCACTCCTTAGCATTCCGTCTACCCTCATGTTTTCAACAAGATGAGGTTTTTGCCTTTACCTTCATTCAGCGACCACTCCTCCTAAAGATCTGTTAACAGTGCTTGATTCTCTAAAAAGGTGTTATGTTTAGGCCTCTGAAACTCTCTCTCTCTCTCTCACTAAATCACACTACTTTTACAATTTAGTAAGGAACTGGAAAGGTATTTTTAAAACACAACTTACTTCATAAATAATGTGACTCTTAGAAATATTGTTTACTGGTAAGTATCATTACCTCTCCATTCTGCTAGAGAGACAAACTCGGGCACAGAGAAGAACATCACATTTCACTGAAGGAAACAGCAAGGAAGGAATGGGCTCTTCCCTTTGTTCTAAGTCTACTCCCACAGTTGTGCTAGCTCTTTTCTAATGTTAATTTTTCCTTTCAACGTTTAATTTCAAGGAGGGTTTTGAGGTTTTGCTAATAGGACAAAGAAACATAGATGTAACACACTCTTCAAGAGCAAATAAAATACAATCAGCCATTCTTTTAGTTCTCTAACCCAGAAAAAACAACATCTTGCTTTGCTTCTTTCATTCATTCAATTTACAAAGTAACAGGGTGCCTAGTATATTTGTTATTGTTCCAGTGGTTCATTGTTCATCAGCAAAGTTTGACTTTTCCAGAAACAAAAAGCAAGAAATGTTTTTAGAGCTTCTCAATGCTAGGAAGCCACAACTACTGCCAAATATAAACAAAGGCTGATCTGCCTCATGTCTATCCACAAGAGAGTCTACATCATCAACTAATGTGGACTCAATAACTTCAGAGTTGTACATTAGTCAGAATAAAGAAAAATCAACTAGGGAAAGAAAAGTACTTGAGAAAGGAGGAAAAAAAAACCCATTGTAAAAAGCTAAGCTTTCAAAGCTCCTGGCACCGATCTCCCATAATAAATGTGAAACAGGGGAGAATCCTGTTCTAAATTTAGAGAAATTCTCTAAGATAAGGAGGTTGTAGAGACTGTGAAGAATTGAAGGGGATGGGGAAGGGGGGACGAGAGAAGTAAACAGAGCTGTGAAGAGGAGAGTCTGGCTTTTTGCTGTGCACTCTGGGCATTTAGCACTTTATTTTATTCATTCATTCAGCCAACCAGCCAACAAATTCATTTCAATTAAAATTTACTCAACATCTTCTATATACTATCCTTGAGATGAGCACTCATTATGGGTGGCAAGTATTTAATTGCTTTGTCTCCAAAATAGGCAAATATCAGAGGAAGGAAATAACTTCCTTTTAAGTAGAATTTATGATCCCAAAGTACATGCCAAAGGAGTTTGGCTGTTTAAAAGCCACCCACACACTAAATGATCACTTGTAAAGTTCTCAGTTGGTTCTACAAAATTCTACATCTAATTGCTAAAGAGCCCACTTCATGAAGTCTTGAAGGGCTCCCCCTCTCAAAAAACTCCTTGACTGGCTTCCAAACAGGAAAGGTCCTCGCATTCCTAGATACAAGCCTCTGCAAGAGCCGCACAGGCTCTGTCTCCAAAGAGAAGCCCTCAGATGGGCTGCCAAACCCGACATACAAGTCACTGGTTCCCAGCTCCCCCAGGATCCCAGAGAGGAGAGAGGGGCCTCCATGGGGAGAGGAGCAGCACAGAGAGGATCAGGGTGAGTGGCTGCAGGCTCTGTTATCAGAAAGAGAGAAAAGCCAGAGCCCTCTGCAGAAACCAGAGCCTGACTCTTCCTCCCAGGTACAGGACATCCCAATCAATGTTGAAGTGACACTCATCAGAGTCAGGCTGATGCATACAACACACACCCCTCTAAGAATTTCTAACTTTTGCCATTCATTTAATTAACTGCAGCTATCTGGCCAAAAATCAGAATAGTGACATCCTTTTCTTCAAGGGGCTTGCCTATAGAGGATTATCAAAATGAAAATGAAAATGAAGCATTAGGGTGACTCTTATAGGGGTCACAAAGTTCTCTTTGTCATCTTCCTCAGGAACACATGTCCTCTAGAGCTGTAGGATCATTGGGTCTGGCCTCCAGTGTTTGCTGTGAACACTAACCTCCATTCCTTAGTGTAGTTCTTCATCTCCCACGGCCTGTAGGACACTGACACATGCAGGACTGTCTCTCATTTATTTTACTGCACTAAATCCTATAGATCCTGCCAAAAATTCAAAGACAAATGCTGAGTACTATCACATCCCTAATACTATATCCTTCCTGATACTCTTCAGCAAAATGTCAGCATTTCTAATTTCCATATATGGTTCAGCATTAACCAATTTCCATATATATCTCTATTCTCTTCATCTTCACAGTGATATCTCAGACTCAGGCTGAACTCTCTTGCATAGGCTGTAGACCTCCCCTCTTCTAAACCTTGTCTCCGGAAGTCAAAAAGCTACAAAAAGTCCTGCTTTTACCTCTCATTTTCTCTGTGAAATCCAACCACCTCCATCAATGACTATCAACCTTTGAACCAAGTCAACATATCTCAGTCCCCAACCACGTGGAGGCCTCCATTGGGCAATGTCTTAATTTGTGTTCTGTTGCTTACAACAAAATATTTGAAATTGAGTAATCCACAAAGAAAAGGAATTTATTTCTTACAGTTATGGAGGCTGAGAAGTCCAAAGTTGAGAGGTCACATCTGGTGAGGGCCTTCTGGTCAGTGGTGACTGCAGAGTGCCAGGCACTTAGGGCATCACGTGGCGACAAAGCTGAGTGTGCTAATGTGCTAGCTCAGGTCTCAATTCCTCTTCTTATAAAGCAACCAGTCCCACTCCATGATAATCCAGTAATCCATGAATGAATAAATTAATCCATTCATGAGGGCAAAGCCCTTATGACCCAGTCACCTTTCAAAGGCTCTACCTCTCAATACTGCCACATTGAGGATTAAGTTTCAACATGGTTTTCAGCGGGGACAGATATTCAACCATAGCAGGCAACCTTCCACTCATCTGTCTTATGTTATGGCCTGTGACTCCTTCATCCACTTCTCTGGGCCCAGCTCTCTCAATCTTCTCCCAGGTCATATTCTAGCTCAGAACAATCTCTCTTGCTACCTCATTCTCAATATCCATTCTTTTTATCCCTTTCAACCCAGCTGAAATTCCAGATAAACAAAACATTCCCCACACCACAGAGATCTATACAACTCAGTTGTCTCTAACCCCATCCCTAAAATGACAAAAACAAAACACTCCTCTTTCCCCCAAAAAAGCACACTAAAGTAAACACTAGTCCTCCACGTCTCCCATTGGTAAGTATTTCAAAGGTCTACACCATAACATTTTTGCTCTGTGAACTACCTATGACAGTTTAAGAAATCTCAGATTTACTGAGTTAACAAACACTATTTGTTCACATTTTTTTTCAGATACAATTACACCTTGATATTCCTGCAATATCAGGTGCAACATCTGGTCACACCTGACAGGAATATCCACGGAGAAAACGGGCACCAACTGCGATTGTTTTTAATGGCAAAGATGCCATTGCTTTGAATCTTCCAGTTTCCAGTAACTTTGCAATATAAGGTTAGTAAGCCAAAATTTAAGAAGGCCAAGTAGAACTCAGTCCTTCAAGCGAATTACATCATTGTTTGCCAAAATCTATCTCCAAAGAACTATTAAAACAAGAACTCAAGTTCCAGAGCTCTTTAAAATACCAGACGAACCTTCAACACGCGTAACTGAAAGAACATCCCCTATCCAAACAGAATCCTCCTTTCTTCATGAAACATTCTGAAGCCAACTAGCACATGGCAATGTCTGCAAGCGGATTTTAATTACAAATCTTTTCTACATTAAACCTCCCCCACCCCCAAAAAAGGACCAGACAAAAGTTTTAATTCCAAAAACCTTGCATTTAAAGGGTCCTTATGCAACAAAGAGAGTAAAGCAGATGGTTACCAGAGGCTGGGAAGGGTAGCAGGGGTCAGGGGAAGGTGGGGAGTTAACGGGTACCAAAAAAAAAAAAAAAAAATAGAGAGAGAATGAATGAGACCTACCATTTGATAGCACAACAGGATGACTATAACCTGTGATAACAGGTTATTATAGTCAATAATAACTTAATTGTACATTTTTAAATAACTAAGAATGTAATTAGATTGTGTGTAATACAAAGGATAAATGTTTGGGGGGATGGATACCCCATTCTCCAAAATGTGATTATTACATATTGCATGCCTGTACCAAAACATTCCATGTACCCCATAAATATATACACCTACTATGTACCCTCAAAAATTAAAAAAAAAAAAGGAGTCCTCATACAAAAGATATATATCACAGCATCCTTACAAGATAGAGATCAGTGACATAGGCACATAACCTCACCTCTTACAGTGGGCATGTACCATCCTTCTGTAGTGAAGAAACATTTCCATAAGTTAAAATTGAGATGAATCATATGGTTTCAGCCCTTGGAGAATGGCATTTTAGATTCAGGTCTAATTTCATAGAAGCAAGCCCTTACTTTCTTCAGGAATGAGGCAGTTCGCCATTTACCAAGCTGCCCTGGCCCTACTCATATCCATTTGGAGGATTTCAAATGTTGATGACAAGACTAAAGACCGGGAGCCTGGGATTTTTTACTTTCCGCAGCTAGAGACTGTAAAGCACATTGAGGGCAGACTCCTATAAACTAAGGAACATGTGAACTGGTACCTGGAAGGCAATTAGGCAGAAGTTATCAAGAACTTCACCAAAAGTGCATCCTCTCTGACTTACCAATTGCACTTCCTGGAATGTCAACTAAGAACATGTGCAAAGATTTAGCTTTTTAAAAAGTAATTCATGCTATTATTTATAATAATGAAAAATCAGAGAAAGCCTTAATGGCCCCTGGGAACACTGGTTGAGTAAACTGTGGTAAACCTTCTATATTATACAGGATAATAGCAGGATACAGTAGTATGCATCATCATAAATGATGTTGTACAAATTTTACATTTATTGACATTGAAACATATTCACAATACACTATTCTGTGAAAAAAGCAAGTTATAAAACAATACGTGTAGTGTAAACTCATCATTGTTAATGGACAGCAATAAAGATATACAGAAGAAAAAACTCTGAAAATGTACACAGAAAAATGTTTATCAGTGGTAGGAAAATGAGTGGTTGTTTTCTTTTTAAAAATTCTCTGTATTTTCTGATTTTTTTCCCTTCAATGAACATATAATTAGAAATACTTGTTGTATACTTAGAGATGGTTCTAAAAATAAGCAACCAAACAGTAAATTGCCTTACGTTCAAAGGGGCTCCCACATCCGCACTCCGCTCTCATATCCGCTAAGCAATTTTTTTCGCAATGGAGTGACCACCTGCCAGGGTCTCAGAAGATGCTTAGAGACAGCATCTTTCCTCACTTCCAAGCCACTCCAGCCCTGCTACCTCCAACGTCAGGTTCAGTGCAAGAGTAGGCTCAGAAACAACTCCGAGCCAGTCCCTGGGTTGCAGCCCCAGAATTCAAGCCCATCCTTCAATTTCCTCAGCAGTCAAATATCCCTGATCACTTACCTCTCCCGAGGGCAACGCTCCGCGCTTGACCTCCTCATAAGCGCCCACCTGCTCCCAGGTGGCCAGGAAGGCGTGGGTGGGGGTAAAGCGCGCAGAGCGCGGGAAGCCAGCGCGCACATAGCGGGCGGCCAGGCCCAGCACTGCCGGGGAGGTGTCCTCTCGGTACAGGACTCGGCCCCTGCCGTGGCTCGTGTCGATGTCGGCCAGGAAAGGGGCGATGGCCGGGAAGTCGGTGGGGAAATCATAGTCCACATACTGCGTTTCCCTGGGGAAGTCCTGAGTGGAGATGATGCCATTGGTGCCCACCTGGGAGAGGACAGGGACAAAAAGGTGACGGTCGCTCAAGCCCAAGGACGCTACCCTGTCGCGCAGGGAGGGAAGGGAACTGACTTAGGCAAAAAGCCTCCCCTTCCCCACCGACTGGCGGGAGTCTGGATTCAGAGAAACAAGCGCAACTTTTGCAACTGTCCCAGCTCCCCTTACCCCAACCGCGGTGCAGTAGGTCCAGGCGCCCTACAACTCGTTTACCTATCTGCTCACTCCTCTCAAAACCCCGGAGCCCCATGTCCCCGGAGAGGAAGCCTCCAGGTCTAAGGAGGGAACACCCCAGCTCCGCAGACGGGCACAGCCTTTTCGCGGTCCTAACTGCAAAGCCCGCTGGCCGCCCTTAGCAACGCCACCTTTTCTGCCTGGGGCGCGTACGTGGCTGCGAACAATTCTTGCTCTCCCCTGCAGGTCATTCTTGTTCCCCTTCAGCACCGGGGCAGGCAGCGGCATCGCTCTGGCCGGGTCCCATCGCAAGGGTGCTGGGGGGCTCCGGGCGTGGGGGATGTTTCCTCCCCTCTGGAGGCAGGGTTTCCGTGAGAGCGACCCCTGGGAAGAAGCTGCGGGAAAAGTGCCAGGAGGGGGCTGAACTTACGTAGAGATTGCTGAATTGGGCTTCGTAAAAGTGCAGGGGATTCGCCAGCTTCACCACGGCTGAGCTTTCGTCGTCGCCTTCCTGCAGAAGCTGGTCTCCCCACGACTCCCCGAATGGGAAGAGCTCGTCTGGGTGCAGCGCCGCGGCCCGCGACAGCAGCAACGGCAGCAGCAGCAGCACTGGTAACGACAACAGCACCGGCCGCCCGGCCACCCGGTCTCCCTCCATGCTCGCTCGGCCGTGCGCTTCCCCGCTACACAGCGCGTCCCGCCCCGGCCTCCAGCCCACTCTCCGCGCCGCGCCAGCCTCGAACCTGGATCTACGCGGGCGACTGGGCGGGGCGGGACTCCAGGCCCACCCAGCACGCTAATTGGCTGAGGCCCTCGGCTGGGGACCAATCACCGGCTCTGAGAAAGTTCGGCAGTGGCCACCACATCTGGTTCTCGTTAAGTTTTCTAAGGCAGCGACAGCCGCAGCAGCGCGGCTGGCGGGGTAAAAGCTCCTGGCCAGGATTGCCCGGAGCTGCTCCTTCCACTTCTCCCCTAGGGAGCTCCCGGGTCATCCTCTCATCCGGGCTGCCCTGCGGCCCCGACGAGCCCCAGCCCCGGGACCAAATGGCCCGCAAGGTCTGGGGCAGCGGCGTTGCAGGAGATGAGCTCAGCGCAAAGGGGACCCCGCGGGGGCGAGCGTGGCTGCTGGCCTGCGAGCTCTGGCCCCAACAGGCTGGCAGGGCGCGGGCGGGTGGCGGGGTTGCGGTATGAACTTTGCGCCCTGCCCTGGGGTCCCGGGTGCCCCTGGCCCTGGAGGCCCGGCCATCGGTCCGAGAAGCAAAGGAACATTGTCGTGGTCCCCTCGGCCGCTTCGCTCCACCCAGATACGCACTGAGGAGAAGCGAGTCTTTGTACGAAGTCAGAGGGCTGACTCCTAAGTTCTGTCCCCTTGCCGAAGGCCGGCCGCTGGAAATACCTGCCCCCGGGAAAACCGCAGCAGGAAAGACCATGAAACGCGACTATGTGTGATCCGCTCCGTTTGGGGAGTAGGATGAGGCATCCCGTTTGGGCACCAGGCAGAAGCGGGCGAGGCGCGGGGATGGGAAGAGCCTGATCTCTTGCCCATTGCTGCGGCCGTCGGAGCTGCCCTCCCCCGCCGTGGCCACGGAGGCGGTAACCTGAGCTGCTCCGCAGGACTGGAAACCGCACAACCTCGAAACCAGCTGCGCAGGAGAAGGGGAACCCCATCCACCATAAACATCCCCTCTGCGAAGCCTCAGGAGCCGGAGGAGATTTTATTACCATTTTTATTATCAAGAGCTTGAAATTTCCCAGATAGTCTGTTTTCTCTCCCAGGCCCCCCATGGGGTCCTTAAAAGCAAAAAATATTTAAAAAGAAAGAAAGAAAGAAACCAAAAAGCAAATCCTTGGAAATGCCTTAAAGGACTCTCCAAAGACACACTACTCTTCGTAGGTGTTTATTCCTATGGACCCACTGGACCAAACGCTAAAACCGTGAAGACATCAGACTGTGAGACCCATAGAGCAGAAACAAAATGGAAAACTGGCCCAAAGCAGTTTGCTTCCTCAGAGTGGAGAATTGTATATTTGATGTTCCAAAAATATATTTATGCTTGCACATATATTTTCTCATTCTTTCTGGGGTCAGAAATTAAAAAACAATTTTTATTTTACTGAGGATGAAATGAAGGTTCAAAGACATTACATGACTTGACTTGCCCAACATCATCTGAAGTTACTCCCTGATATAAAACTACTGACCCTCTGTAGTTTTACTTTATCTCTCAGTTCAGCATAATAATAATAACTAACATTTATTTAGTGGTACTAAGCTATACGCTTTGGAACAAGCAGACTCTGAGATGGTCTCCAATGATCCCCATTTCCTAGTGTTCATTCCCCTGTATAAATCCTGCCCCAGGAGTGTGGACTGGCCTTGTGACTTCTAACAAACATAGTGTGGCAACAGTGATGAGAAGAAAGCTAAATAAGATTGTGGCTTCTCCCTTGTTAGCTGACTCTCTCTCTCTCTCATTGATTTTGATGAAGCAAGCTGTTATGTCAGGGAGGTCCACATAGCAAGGAACTGAGGAGGGCAGCCTCTGGCCAACAGTCAGCAAGGAACTGAATTCTGCCAACAACCATGTCAGTGAGCTTGGAAATGGATCCTTCCCCAGTTGGGTCTTGAGATGATACCTCAGCACTGGCTGACATTTGATTGTAGCCTTGCCAGAGACCCTGAAGCAGAAGACCCAGCTAAGCCAGGTGCAGATTCCAGGCCCACCAAAACTGAGAATTATAGTTTTGGTTAGATTATAATTATAGTTTTGGTGGGATTGCAGACCCACCAAAACAGAATTATAGCTTCAGCTTCAGAAGCTGAAGAAGCTGTGTGTTGCTTTAAGCTATTATGTTTTGGGATAATTTGTTATGCAGCAATAGACAACTGATAACAGGTAGTCATTGTACTAAGGAAACTAAAGCTTAGATGGGATTTTAAAAAATAAATTATTATCACATGGCTGGTAAGTACCAGAGCTGAGATTTGAACCCAGTTCTGTCTGATCTCTAAACCTGCACTCCTAACCACTCAATTATATTGTAGCAAGGCCCTTTGGAAAGTAGCTCTAGTCTATGTCTCTAAATTTATCTCCCATCGCAGCTAATCTGAAGTCTCACCTGAAGCTGAGACTTTAATTCTCAAATACAACATCCTCACAGGTAAGTCCTTTTACCTACAGTGAGATTTCTTGGTCAATTTCAAGCCAACACCTTCTCATCTCTAAGACTTGAATCAAAACCCTCCTCCTTCAGGAATCTGGGAAAAGAAAATAACTCCCCACATCTTTTGCAAAAATCTCATTAATAATCCACCCCTATTTAGCATATAATCAATAAATAACCATAAGTATAATCAGTCAAGCAGCCCATGCCACTGCTATGCCTATGGAGGAGCCATTCTTTTGTTTCTTTACTTATCTAATACAGTCACTTTCACTTTACTTTGTAGACTCACCCCAAATTCTTTCTTGCAACAGATCCAAGAACCCTCTCTTAGGGTCTGGATCAGGAACCCTTTCCAGTAACTCTACTGCCCCCTTTTGAGCTATATATTCATCCTTGAAACTGCTTGCTATTGCCACATACATTAACCTAATAATGTCACACTGGACACTATAACTCATAGCCTATAGCTTAACAGTGCATAGCCAATCAGTGAGCAATGTTATTTCTGTAAACCAATGTGAATTCCTGTCAAACAATTTTGTATCAGCCTACTCCCTGTCCCCCTTTTCTGCCTGTAAAAAAACCTGCTTGTAATAAAGGCAGCGTGAAGCTCATATCCAAGGTTACTTGGGTCTAAGTCTTCCAGGCAACTGTCCTCACTTTGACTCAAGTAAACATTTTGTTATATTTTGTGCCTCTGTCTTTTCCTTTCAGGTTCACGAGGCTTTCCTGGAATCCACAGTCTGATTTAGAAGCCCTTTCTCCTGGCTTCCATGTGCCCTGTGCTTGCCGTGATCATACCCCCTATCACACGTCTCCCATAATCCTGATCTCCACATGCTTCCGTCACCACCACCACTACCACACCTGGAGGGCAGGGATTCTGTCTTCTTCAGTGTCTGCCGCAATGCCTGCCTGGCTCATCAGAAGTGTAAGAAATGTTTGTTCAATTAGTGAAAACAAGCAAGCCAGCCTGGGACGAGGACCCATGTCTGCTGGCTCAAAACACAACATTCTTTCCCCTACACCACCTTTCCTGCTAATCTGACCTGACTCTTGTAATCCTCTTTACCAGGCTGCCTAGCAACTCACCTACCACTGCTCTCCTGTTTTTGTCATTCTTTCATTCATTCATCCATTCAACAACAATTTCCTGAAAGTTTACCATGACAAACACAACTCTGCAAGAAATAAAGGAGTACAAAATGTGACCCCTGACCTTAGAGAGCTCATGATCTGGTTGGGGAAACAGAGCATAAGAGGATGTCACTAGTTTTTAATCTGATGCGATCTGAGTACAGAGAAATAGTTCCAATAGAGAAGACGCTAAAACGAACAGTCTTGTTTTCCTGTCTGCATAAAGTGGCTGAATTCTCCCTGAAATAGGAGGCTTTGGACAGCTGTGCTTAAGAGGACATGCCTTTGAGCTTTTATTCTGATATTATTTTTAAAAGATGCTATGGCACCAAGGGTGGTTTCTCCTTTAAAATGTCATTTTGTGTCTTGGGGGAAAAGAAAAAATCTGCCGTGGCTCTTTCACCAGTCAAAGTAAATACTGGAGAAATACTTTGCTTGTATCCACAGCTCTCTTTGCAAGAGTAGAATTTCCATGACTTGCCAGACTGGCTGAAGAGGCAGAGGCCCCTTTCAGACTGGAGGTTATAGAGGACTTCTGTAGCCTTCTTGGATTGGATCCTCAGGGTACATCAGAGCATTGCTTGAGAAGTAAGATTATTTAGAGGTACAGCTTTTCATCAAGCCAAGGATGCTACCAGATGCCTTGCCAATAGACCTCAGCAAGAGTCTCCACAGTTATATGTTTTTTGTGGTTGTATTTTTGTTATAAATACCAAGACTTCAAGAATGATGATACTTCCTGTTATTTTAATCATTAGAATGGAAACACATTTGCTCCACAGTGTGGCAAATGGATCTTGGTATTTAAGAGCAAGTTCTATGTATAGCACCGATGGATGTGTGTACATGTTTGTATTGGAGGTGGGCTTGGCAGAAAATGTCCCAGTTCTTGTTGCACACAATGATTCTTTGCATAATTTTACTATCCATTAAATTCCAGGGTGTGTGTGCTAGCATGTAGAGAAAATGGACTTGAACAAATTAGTATGTCTTCACAGACTCAGGTTTAATTGAAAGTAGGTTAGGCATAAGGAGAACCATGAAGTGAGAAAATATTTAAATTAAAATGTGCAATATGAAAAGACTCTGTTCAAGCTTTTGATACGAATCACTGCAGATGCAGTTCTGCTGTAACATTTTTAAGCAGAGAGAGGGTTGGTGTGGCAGACACTATTGGAAGCTCTCCCAACAGCCGTCCCCTCTTTTTTTTTTTTTTTTTTTGGTTTTAGAAACCCCATATTGTTCAGGTAAAGAGTGCAATAAGCCCGGGAATGATGGGTTGCTTCCTCAGCCCTGGCAGATGCCCTAAGATTGGTGGAAGCCAATCATAATAATGCCTTTCACCCTTATAGTGATACAGTCTCTTGTAACTTCAACCCTTCCCTCCCTGTTGGCCTTTTCCCCCCTGCCTCTAAATCCCCTCTGCCCAGTCTTACCCATAAAAATAAAAAACAAATTTCCCTACTTATTGGTTGCCTTAGTTTTATTTCTCTTACTTTCAAAAACTCTACTGGAAAGGAATTTATACTTCCTGCCTCCTCCTTTCCATGGCAAAAATAATCTTCCCAACCCCATCACTGAACTGCTCAGGCAAAGACCAACAGCGAAATCATATTACCA